GTGAATTCTCGTGACATACCGGTCTCAGAGAAGAAAGTGCTGAATCCCTGGTCCTGGGGCCCCTTTTGACGCTCCTCGGTAAGGTAACCATCAGGCTAGAAACGACATATTAGCTACAATCCTCATTGCGGTGAAGCTGGCCAATTGCTTCTGGAAATGCATTTGATGGACGGCTCTATGGGTGCTGAATTACCTGGATACCGTGCTCAAGACAGTACAACTACAGCGATCAAACAAGTCAGTTACTGAGACTGGGGAATTTACAAGCTTGATAACTTACCTCCCAGCAAGAGTTGGCGATCTGAACACCAGCTTGTCCGACTGTTGAAAAATATCAGTAAAATGGACCCCTGGAATTTCAGGGGCAACAGCAGCTTGATAACAGCTGACAGGGGCAACCAGGTTGTCTAGATAGGAGATGCGGGGATACGAACCGTTAAGGGAAACGACTTCTCTCATGATGAATGATTATACTAAGTGGTACTGTGGTAGAGGTGGTGCTATTGATTGATTGATTAGGAGAGTCGTAAAAGGCGTGAAGTTGGAGGATGGATGAAGAGAAAGGGAGAAGAAGGGATGGGATGGGGGAGAGAAGCAGGATAGAAAAAGAGGGTGAAGGAGGCGGTCTGTGGTCTGTGGGTTGAACAGGGTGTGTGTTGTTTTTTTCGCGTCGAAGGGTTCGGTTTGTCAGGTAGACGCCGCAGCTAGCCAATTACAGTTAAGCGACAGGCAACCCTTAACTTTCCTGTGCTCTTGTTGACCCACGCAACCACAGCCGTGCACGACCTCATGGTAGTGCTTCTCTCCCCCCACAGCGGAGAGCTGAATGTATGTACATACTACATCCGGTTCCTGCTCGCCAATTCACTCAACATGATCTTCAACGCTTCTTGGAGCCAAAGGCTTCAGTGTCGGTCGCTTGTATTTCCATCACTGCTTCTGCTGCTACTTTGCCTGGCCCTTTTGCCTTCGGTTTCTGCGAATACCGAGAAGGAGATATTCGTTGCCCCACATGAGCAAGACGAACTATTGTTCACTGGTGCGAACGACGGGCAGTCGGTTGAGCTAGAAGCTCTCAATCTCGGACTTCATAAACTTACACCTTCGCCTCTTTGCGGCACCAGCCCATGTCATAATCTGAAAATAGCATTGAATACTTCGTTCGTCCCCTTTGAAAAACAATGGGTTCTCCTTGATCACCTAAAGCCTGGGAAGAGGTATGAAGTTCGGTTATGTTGGGCTGCTACCGTGAGTGCACATTCAAAAGGCGCGATTTGTAGCTTTGACCGAACTCCCAAAGATTCGTTACTCAGAGCAAAAATAATCTAGTCACCAACAAATTTCCATCTCAAGCTATACACACCTCTTCAAGTTCTTTCAGACCCGGGTCTCATCACTAGCCTAGTGTCCTACTCTTCTCGAGCACCTCCGCCATTGCGAACAGTAGATGAGGTTGATCATGCCGTAGAAGCTCCGCGCTCCCTACTTTATTTGGAGATTGGAGCAGTGGCAGCTTATTACACGCCCGACAAGTATCGAATGGAGAATCCGGACAGTGTTGGCGTTGAAATAAGTTCGTATTCCCATGGCTACCACGCCCCGGAAGATATAGCAACTAACTCCTAAATGACTAGTCCTTGATCCCTACTTCATGAACATCATTCCAGAGTCCCTGTTTCCCATTATAGGAATGATTACTCTGGTCACTTTCTTTGCCTGGTGGTGCAGTGGACGGATATACAGAGCTCTTCAAGATATCGAGACGACGGAAGTACCAGAGAACGACGATCGAGAGAAGAAAACCACTTAAACCTAATTAGTGTTTAATTAATCGCGTTAATAGTCCTAATCCCTAGGAAACTTTGATTTCTAGCAATCAGCAATATCGGAGAAATGTTTGAGTTATCTAGGAGTTCATTTATTTTATTTGTATGGGACGAATTTTCATAATAGGGAGGAAACGATTGTAAAAAAAATTACTCATTGGGTTTTAGCTCTATCGCCGCACCTAAAGTGAGTGTAATCAATTTGAGAATCTTAATCTAGTTGACAAGCCTTAAAAGCTTACTCAGTATATTGGCGAAAGGTCTATCTATTGCGAATTACTACGTACTTGTCCACTCACCACCTGTTCTGACAAAACAAAAGCAACACATCAGTTGAGTTCAACCAACGTCTAGAGAAACATGCGCACAGTCCCTGCAAATATTACCCCTTCTCGCTTAATATCAGCTCATATGGCATATATAACAGGAATACCCCAAAATAAGCCTTCCATCCTCTCCAATCCCCATCTCTAAATACGTCCTAGCGAAAGCATCATAATCACAAAATACAGGAAGCTACTTGATCAGCCCTATTGGAGATATCCATTTGTCCATCATCATCGTTGATAACCATGGGGTTTTTCTTAGATGCTGCGCAAATCTCAACGATCTCGTCTTCATGGTCGAGCTCGAGGTGCCCATCCCTGGGGGAAGATACTTGAGGGGAGGGGATACGCCACTGGGGCTTCTGAGACCCATTTACCGGAGGTGGGGTAAAGGAATTGGGAGATTTTCCTCTGCCACAATTTGGACCCGGGGATTCGCAGGAAATTTCCAATGGTACCCCAAGCGGAATTTCAAGGCCATCAACTGTATTCACATACGTCGACGAACCGCCCAAACCCCTGAAGCTTGGGCTTACCGCGTATAGGAAGGATGGATCCTCCATCCCCTGCTGTTTTATGAAGGGCTTCACGTCGTCGCCGTACTCATACCCAAACTCATGTCCGTGTTCGTCGTAATTGAACATTCCAAACTCCCTCTTGACAGCTTCCATCTTGATCATTCTGTTTTCCTTTTTGATCTCAACGTCATCGGAAACAATGCCCTTTCGATACAGAAACATATCCGGGTCCTCGATGAATTTGCCCTTACAGCCGTCCTTTCCACCCTTCCCGGCTTTTTTGATCTTCTTCGAGGCAGGATTGGTTTCGTAGCCACACTCTTTCGCAAGCTTTCGGAGCTTCTTAATACGTTCCTCACATGCACGAGCAGTGCAGCCAACAATCTTTGCAACACGGTTGTGATCAACAATCACTTTATGAGCGCTAAGAATGGCAAGGAGGAGGTGTTGGTCCGCAGCAGCTATACATATGACGTGGTGGCATTAGTACTACATACACTAAACCCTGGTCTAATCTATGTGGTCGACTTACAATTCCACTTCATATTGGATAACCGACAAACTTGGTAATAGAGCTTGAGAATTTAGCTACTCCTGTGGCTCGGTCCAATTGGGTCTCCTGTGACTGCGTTTCATCAATGTTATTATGACGAAGAAGTTTGAGAGCCGTATCAGGTTGTTTGATTCTTACCTAGCTATTATCTGAGTAGTTGCTCTAATCTATGCGCTCCAAAGAGGCTCTCACGATGCTCACAACGACCGGAATAATTTGTGTGCCTTGAAGCTTTGGATGAGTTTGCAAGGCTGGAGCTGTGCTCTATATCTGAGCTAACAACAAAGCAAAATATATGCGCTAGGGCTCGTATTTGGACTAAAGCTGCTGAGTGTGCAACTTCACTGAACACCGAGCGACAGATCGTATAAAGGGAGCATAGCTCACGACGGCATCGGGGAGCCTGAGGTTTGTCCATCGTTTCCATTTTATTTTGAAGTGCGGCTTGTAACCATACATATGCTAGTTTCGGCATCTCTTAGACTGCAAAGTTCCTTGGTGCTTCTCCACCGATTGCCCTGCATATACCCTATTGCTTAGTTAAATCTTCCATTGTACTCCTGAACCCAAGTACAGTAACAAAAAGACCGATTGATTACACACAATTACAAACTAACACTACCTGTATAATTAAATAGCCAAAGCTACGATTTCTTGCATAGACTCTACCAACCGAACAAAACAAACAAAACTCTTTACAAAGAGAACACAGATGATCAAATTCGCATCGGAAATCCCCCGGGATAGCGAGGAGTCAATGCGTGTAGACACACATACAATGTTGCCCACCTAATCTTCACATGCATTCGTTGTGCCAACCCGCTATTCCGATCCGCCATCGGACATGCATATATCCAGCTGATTTATCTCTACAAACAGTTTGCAAATGAGAATAACACATGCACCTTGGATCCTTGACGATATTCAGCACGGTTTCCAGAAACAAAGGTAATTAGCCAAGACGAGTGATACCTTATGATGGGATTTCTTTAAAATACCTAGCACATGGAGAAGCTCAATTATCTATAGTGCTATTAGAGCTTCTATGATTTTCCTTCAAAAAATAAGTTATGGGAAGACTGCATTCATTCCCGCGATATCATCTGCTTCCCGGCTCATGTCATGTTTTTACGAGTTTGATAAATAATAAAGCTCTTTCGGGATATGAGATCCGTCCTGGGAGGTATCACTTGCCATTGAATGCCGAATAAAGCTTGATAAATCTTATTCAAACATAATAGGCCCTACATGAATAAGAATAAGAAGGATCTGAATAACATGTAGTACTGAGAGGCGGGCCGGCCCGTTAAGCCACAAGTGCTTCGGCCATGTGGTCGTGGTTGAATCGTTCTATTTATTCTAAATAATCTCATATTGAAGAAAGGAAAGGAACGAAAGTATATGTAGTCGCGAGCTCATGTGGAAGTTGCAGTTGACAGTTTAGAAAACATATGTATGGATGAAAACCACCATTTCTATATATGAATTCCGCGTATTACAAACTTCAGGGTCGATATCGGCGATATTTATGCCCGGCGCGGAGGTCTAGATAGGGGACGCCACCTTAAAGACTACATGTACAAGTAATCTTTTTGAAATTGATGTTTGAAACCACATGAACTTCGTAAACCAAGAGTTTCCACTACATATAGTTATCTCTCCGCATGCGTATCAACTACCAGAGATGAATAAGAATAGAAAGAAACGTTTTCCAGAATAAATAACCATCCCTAAGATCCTATTGCCAGATCCTACAAGCAATAACTCCAACCCAAAACTACATAAACTCCGAATCCGCGTCAGAGTCTAGCTCCGACTTAACAAAAGCATCATCCTGGTAATCAGGATCTTCGGCTGCCGATTCAGATTCCGATTCTACATCATCATTGGCGTCCGGCTCCAGCTCCGGCTCCGTCTCCTCCTGATCACCTTCCTGATCACCCTCCTGATCACCTTCCTGATCACCTTCCTGATCACCTTCCTGATCACCTTCCGGTGCATGTTCTGGTTCAGATTCCGTATCATCGTTCGACTCAACCTCACGCTTCACCCCCACCACTGATTGGATCGCTTGCATCGGACTCGAAGCCAGTGGCTCGTTATAAAGCGAACGGTCTGACAGCGCCCCTTCATCTTCTTCTTCCACCTTCGCCACGAGTAGGTCGTCTACAGCTCCTGTATCATCTGCAGCATCAATACTATCAATAGTGTTAATGTCATTGGCAGCATCAGTGCTACCGTTGATATCTCTGCCATCGTTTGTGAACATGCCATCGTTAGTGTCAATGCCGTCATTGGCGCCAATGCCATCATTGGTATCAACTGCCTCACCGTTATCGACGACATCATCGGCAGTAACATCAGTTCCATCAATGTCGACATCGGCACCGTCAAGTTCAGTACTGTCATCCTCATCCTCCGCCGTCTTAATTTTCTTCACTGCACATTCTTCCTCCTTGGGGACTACCGGAGGCGGTCGTTTCTTCGGGCCACTCTTCCCCTTTGGATGGTTTCTCGGCTTGGGGTGGTCCATAGCCTTAGCCTCCCGTTTGAGCTTTGCTATCCTTTCCTCAATGGCTTTAGGGGTTGCTCCTTGATGCGTGCACCGTTAATCTACTATAATCATTGTTTGCGAGAACATGAAACACACCTGGGAAGATTTTGCATAATTCCACAGTGTCATAAGATTTTGCGGAGCGCTCGATGAGACGAATGAGAAGCTATGATTCAAAATCTTATATCAGTAATATTCCACAAAAACAGTCAAGTGGATTGAGCGGCAGAAAAATATTTACCCTACGATCATTCTCTGAAGTCCAGACCTGTCACACTTGTTGTTAGATCATATCATATTATCTGGGCGGTACGGAGATTAACTTACAACTTTCGGCATGATGATACCACGCAGATAGAGAGGCTAAGTAGACTGAAGAAGTAATTCGATTCCTTCCTAGATTTACTCAAAACAGCTACTGCAAGGATAAGATAACGGGGTAGAGCAGGAGTGGAATCACAAGAATTTTTAGAGCTGATATTCCTCAACACGGGACTGAGGAAGAGGAGGAGCTCGAGGGAGAGAAGCAAACAAGGATCAAGTCAATGTTTGTTATCGTCCCTGCCATGATATCAAATAGGACTGAGCTGCATGCGAAAAGCCACCAACACCAGGTATCCATCCCATCGGATAGGATAAGGCAGGAGCTAGCTAGATGGACGTTCCAGATTTACGGGTACCCTCCACGGTGCTCCCGGGTTCTTGTGTTTCCATAGCTGAACAGCACTCAAGAGCTTACTCGAGGTGAGTAAGCCGAATCTTGCAGAACCATAACTTGCTACATAGACATTGTTTAATGCAGATCAAACCAGTCTAGTCCTGCAGTGCCTAGGAGTCATACTCTACAGAATAGCGGAACAGCCAAGCTGCCAAACTGATCGATCAGATATGTACCCGCCACTCAGCTTTTTATTGGCCTTGTTGATGCATATATACTACCTACATGCAATTATCATTATGTGCCCGTATCGATAGGTACGTACATGTAGTAATCGATTAGGTACCCCACCCCCACATCGGTATTTGCTACACTACACCTCCATAGCCCGCGGAAGTAGTCGTACTAGGTACATAGTCACTAACATGATACGTACAATATAGACTCAGTTTACGGCCTCATGCATATATTCCCGAGATACTATCAATTTCAAATCGTGCACCAGCTAGTATACAGGTGCCCTCTCCACTACATCATACTCTCCCAATCAAGGATAACCATGATACAGCCACTATCTCATAAACATTCCATTAATCGCTGTAGTCACCGTTACCACTCCATGCAACTATGGAATCCTCCTCTTGGATTGATTCCTGCTTTACAGGTGTTTTCTCTATAGCCGCCATTTTCCTAGCTCTCCCTTCCCCGCCGATTTTTCTGGGAGTGCTTGGGGCACCACCATTCGCGAGTTTGCGTTTCCTAGGGGTTGGCGGCGCAACTGCTGGTCGACTCCCCGAGTCGATTTCTGCTTGGAGAATTTTGGCTTCTTTCTTGACGTTTCGAAACCTGGTCTCAATGCTATCATATGTTGCCCCTTCTCCGAACATCGCCGCAACATGGTTATAATTCTGTTTTATCAAAATTAGTAATAAGGTACCATGATAATAAGGTACCATGTGGATACGCGTACTATTTTGATTTCAGGGTGAGCTGCGATTGTAGCAGCGAGTAAACGCTGGTACTTCTCCGCTGTCCATGTGATTTTTTTTTTGTTGGACATTTTTTCAAGAGTAAAATTCGAACGAGGTGGACAAGAAAAGCCGAACAGAAGGAGCTAGCCGAAAAAGAAAGGTAGGGTTTTGAGGATGCTCTGTCGTCTTGCACAAGTTTACACAAGGTATGAAGTCACAAAGTATGAAATTCCTAGAGAGAAGGTTCAAGATGTGTACTGTAATGGCCTCAAAGCCAGCGAATACTCACTCTATTTAAATAAAATCGGCAATATCAGTTCCAGGGAAAAGAATGTGGGCTCCTGCGGTCTGTGTAATGTGGAGTTGTTATCTCGTGGATTACAATGCCGTACTGACCATTCAATCGTACGTACTTTCTCTTCTGCGTGCCCACGGAGCCAGCTATGGGTACCTACTCGCTGTACTCTAGTAGGCGGGGCTTCTGAAACTTCGTGGACAACCGGCCTACTGAGCCAACGTCGAGATCAACGATGCAGCATCTCAAAACGTCCATCCCACAATGTACCAAAAAAAAGAAAAGAAACGTGCATGCATAACCGAAGGTAAACCTCCGAGCTGAGCGTGAGACCCCTGTTAAAACCATTATATGGGTCATAGAGTTTCCCTGTACATATTAATACTGCAATACCTATACGCGAACTAGCATCACCTCAGTCCTGATGGGAAGCTATGTATGTGCTTGACATGCAATTGAAATGTAAACGATGAAAAAGCTCTTTAGTTTACAGAAAGACTTCATGAGACTCTATTGTCGTCGTCGTCGGCGGCGGCGGTTGACTTCTAGCTCTAATAATCATTTCCCGAAACCGTTATGTTCCGTAGGTCAACTATTGCTAATTAAAGTACATGTACGTACATGTAGTACTTGGTAAAAAAAAGCTTGGACTTCGCTGACTGGCTGACAGACCACGAACCAATCGTCATTGGGATACTCCTATTGGCTCTAGCCCTGCCCGCGAGGTACCTCCGAAGTTATTGCTGCCAACACAACGGCAAGTTGTGGAAATTATGTACCGATAAATTCGAAAGATTATTTCCTCTGTACATACGGGACCTTAAAGTGCACATGATCTGGTGGCCCGCTGGCCGGCACCAATTCAAGTCCTCGGCCTACCTTTTCCCTACTAGCTACGTATATATGTACATACATACATTTACATATGTGTGTTGATTTCCTGCTTTTTGGCGGGCACTCATGTGGGATGTTAATTCCAGCTAGTCTCCTAATAGCTCGATAGGCGTCAATATATCCAGTAAGTATACTAGCTCCTCGTTAAGATATGAAATCTTTTGTGTACTCAAGAGTACTTTACATACGTGGCTATACTAAATAAGGACATACTTCAATTGATTGAGACATCGGCAGATTGCGCGACTCTGAGGTGATCGAGGGCGGTCACTCCTCATTTCTGTAGCATTCCGTAAGTACTAACCTCTAAATTCTGATTATGAGATAACCAACATCGCTATCGACACGCACAGACTATGATGTAGAGAAAGTACCCCCCCCTCCCACCCCACTTCACCAGCTGACATAAAACCTTTATCCTCCCTTACTCTCGCTCACTCTTTTCTACTCAAGCTTCCTCATCTAACTAGTAGACATCTATATACAATCGTACAACATCATGAAGTGGACAGCGGATAATGACCAGCTGGTAAGTATAGTTCTATTTTCTGCCTGTATTTAAGTTATCAATATTAACCGCGACCTAGCTGTTCGTTAAGCTAATCGAAACACACGATGTTGCTATCAAGGCCGAGAAAATAAGGGAAGCATGGCGTACGTCCCCATGTATCCTAATAACCTCATTAGTGAAGTACATCATTAACATATACGATACAGCCAAAGACGGCCGCGAAGTACCCACCGCAAGAGCAATAAGTGAACGGATCCTGCGCATCAGAAACGGCCTAAAGAATGCCAATAAAGGTGACGGTACTGGTGCCGTCCCAGGATCCGTCCCTTCAACCCCTCGAAAACGCAAAAACCCAGCAGCCTCGGTCACCGGAACCCCAAGGACTGCAAAATCACGGCGAGTTGCTGCTACAAAAGAGCTCGATGGCCCAGATAGCCCTATCAGAAGTATTAGAAAGCCTGCTGTTAACGCGGCAGTAAGGATGGCACACGTCCAGGAGCTGGGGGATACGCCAGGATCGTTTGATGCATGTAGTACGGTCGTCGATGCGGCGAATATTTATTATTCGTTTGGGAACTATGGTCCAGATGAGAGCTAGAGTTCCAATTCAAGCCTGTTTGCATATCAGTAGCACAGTAAGAGACATATGTACGTAGACGGTGAGATATATCAATAGCTACGGCATAATTATACGTGTTATTAAAGCCTAATTCATTATAAATGACGTTGCTTTTGTTATGAAGCCAAGTATGCTCTATAGAGATATATATGTTTAATCCATTTATGTGTTTAAAAACTTTAATTCCCTAAAATCTTCTCTGAAATTGGTTGGATCTATTGAGGGAACATTGATAAATGAATTGCCGGACTAACACGAGCTTATTCAAAGAACAGCGCTAGCCTTGCTTTAAAATCTCAGGCGCGTTCAATATCAAGAGAATATATTATATTTTGTAGCAAAGGCAACTAACTACATGTATTGATCAATCATCCAAACCGCTGAAGTTTTCTTACCTTTGGGTCTAGCATTAAATATAAACCTTGTGAGTTATACTATAGACGTCACGTCAAGCCACACTAGATGGGATATTGTAATTACATCAGCGTGTTTGGCTACGTAAGTACATACTGTACTTACCTAGGCCGGTTCTATTCCGTAGTTTGTCCCTCCTCTTCCTCCTCCTCCTCCTCCTTCTTCATGCTTTGTGGCTCCTTCCCTTTTCATAATAATAAAATATCTAGATTCTCAGAGCTTGTTAACGTTCCTTGCAATGCCTCGAAGATGACTCTTTCTGTTTCCATCTCAAACCAAGTCTAAATCCGGCCGCGCATTATGAAAAGTTTTCCTCTGCCCTGCTCTGCCCTGCATATCTACAAGGTTGGGATTCCTATTGTATGTATGTACATATCCGATAGAATTTACCACCTGCTAATAAAGGGGTTCTCCCTGGGATAGTAACTCGAGCTCTGCCCTTCTGTCCTTTGATCACGCCTTGTAAAACCTCGTGGGCTCAGATATCTTTATCGGAAAATGCAAGGCTTATTTGATCTAAGGATCCTGTTGGGCAACAAACTTTAGGAATTGCATGCCACAACCGGTACGGTACCTAGCTAGCCAGCAGTTAAAAGTTTCCTAGTTTCAATAGCACTATCCTCAAAATCAAATCGACCGCGAACCATGGGCTCAATTTGGGATATTCTTTCCGGCCTTCGTGATGCTTGGCCGGCCTGACGTTTGATTTACATGATCAAATGGAAACGCAGCAAACAAGCTAAGCACTGGGCTAATCTTAATCAGCTGCAGTGGGCCGATACCGCAAGATGGAATATCTCTCTGATTTCAACGGTTTGAGTCTCGATTTTCCGTTTGCTCTCCCCAGGGGTCTAGAATATTTCCGGTCGAGATAAATTGAAGCAATTACCTAAATCATGGATTTGTGGAGAGTAGCGATTTATATAAAGACCACAGGAAGGTATATATTCTCATCTCTTTATCTAGTATCATCGATCTACTTTCGACTTCGAACCCAGAGAAGATTCTGTCTGTTGAGAAAGGGATAGAAGCAACACTCACTTACTCTTCGATACCATATTCCACTCAAGATATAATGGAGATCGAGAAGCTTCTCAATCCCGGTACGCGCACACACATCTTTTGCCTTCATATAGGTATCCCACGTGGTATCAGACTGACGGGAATGAATAATAGACAAAGGCAAAGGCAAAGGCGTTGATGAGCCACCAACCAATGAAACGCCAGGAAAGAAAGAAGCGGCAAAGAAAGATGCAGCACAGGCCGAGAAACAGAAGGATTGGGAGCAAAAGATGAAAAGTAAGGGAATGCCGACTCAAGGGTTGAATACATGGCGGGTCAAGAAACAGGAGTCATAATTTGAAATACGAGTACTGCAGCTGGAGCATCGAAGAAGGATAGGGACATAAAATGAGCATTAGTACATAGATATTATAATAATCAATATCAATTTTCGTTACCGCATCACGTGACACATTTTACTGTAATTATCATAGCTATATTTATCTAGTAAAAATCCCAATATCACCATCCTCCAGACATCAGACCTGCAGACCGGTTGCCCTGTGATATTCCTAGGCGCTTGCCTCCAAATCTTCCGCCGTGAGCTTTCTCTTTTTCGGGGTGGCTGGAGTAGACTTCTGCCCCTTCACCAATCCGGAGCAGCTTGCGCTTGAAGACGTCGACATTGAGGTCGAGAGCTCAGTATCTAGTGCCTGTCTCAGCCTTCCCCAACGCTTGCGGGCGGCGTTTTTAGTGACTCGTCCTTCAAGAGCCTGGGCAATCAGGTCCCAATCAAGCTATTACCGTACCCGTTAGTTAGTTGCATCTATAGTACAGGTGATTAACTATACATACCGCTCTCACATCCGTCTGCTTAATGATGGCATAAAGCAACTTTAAGTTTTCTCCGTTCAAGTGTGCAAGAGACATTTTTTTGAGGGCTACTATAGAGTTGATCAGGAAGAGGATGAGGAGTAGGTTTGTGGTGGATCTAGTTAGAGAATTCGAATGAACGTGGGTTTTGAGTCTTTAATAAGATCGTGAAGGCACAAATATGTAAGTACATGTATGTACGTGTAGTTTGTGTCTACGAACCTTACAGGCACATCATTGTCGGTGTGTCTATAGAACAGGGTTGTATACATGTATCATACAATGAGATACATGTAATATTTGGAGTGTTGCACAGACCCATTCATGAGCGATCCAGGGCCTCCCGGACGTATGTACATACATGTACTCTAGTAGAATTGAATGCCTGATACCTAGCCCCATGCCGAGCCCATAGTGAAGCTACATACAGATATGTAGTTTTATCGAGGACATTCCCACTCTTCGTCTTACACACTCATCCTCTCACGCTCATCATCTTCCGATCCCACTTATTTCAAAATGCCAGTTAACGTTTGGACAGACAAAAACCGTTGCCGCCTGCTGTTGACTATCCTCGAAATAAACAACCAGAAACTTCCGCCATGGGATGAGGTTGCAGAGAGAATGGGTGCTGGATACACTGGGGCGGCAGTCAAGTGTGTAAACATGATTGCTTGCTCTTGAGAATGGCAATTGCTGACACATCGAGACAACAATATCAAAAGCTACGAAAAGAGGGACTCCCCCGTCCTGGTGGTGCCAGCGGAACTACACGTGACCAAGTTCCGCCTACTCCAAAGCGAAAGAGAGCACAGCCGCTTGGGAAAAAACAACAGCCACCAGTCGATGACGTAGAGCACGGGACCAGCAGCGATGAGAGTGATAGGAACAAAAGAGCGCGCCTGAAAAAGGAAAGAATTAGCATAAGCCCAGAAAGAACAATAGTGAAGACGGAGCGAGTGGATGAGGATGGCGTTGTGATGTTGGATGATGATGAGTATGTGCCACTTATACGCGCGTAACTATTGCGCTGGTATATTTGTTAACTGACGCGATTTAACCACTTTAGTTTATACTACTGCTGAGCTCGGGAAATCACGTTACGCGCGGTTATTTTGAATGAAAATCTTGTATCGCTATCATTTTATGGTACTACATGTAGCACTTACACGTTTCAGTTGGATGTGTGCACGTGCTTAAAATATATTTGTGTTCCCCGAAGTATGGCCGACGCAACGAGTGATAAAACATGATCAAGTAACGACACAAGATAAGTTACCGTGCCTTCATAACCTCTTACTCTGAACCTCTGTAGAAGTACCAACACTATCCTCATACACATGCATACCAAAAATACCATCATTATCATCACCACAAGGAGTTGGGGCGGTCGGGGTGATCGAAACCGTGGAGCAAGCGGAAGAATCAACAGCAACCGCCTCTGGACCCACCTGTTGGTTTTCCTCATGATCATCACACCCTTCGTTATCCATATCTTCATGGTTCAATCCCACACAACCCTCATTTGCCACATCACTAACAACCTTCTCATCATTCTGATACTCATAGAACCGTTCCCCAGCCCCCCGTACCTGAGCAAACTCTTGCTGCTCTGGCCCCCATCCCATACCTGACCACGCCACATGCTCTTCTCTAGCTTTCTCTATCGCCGCCGCCTCTTCCTCTTCTTCAATCCCGGGCTCAGCCTTCACAACGGCTACGTGCTCAGCTTTGACCCTCTTTCTTCTATTATCTTCATCGTCTTGAGGGTTACGGTAAGCTTTCGGCTTTGGGCCACGTTTCTTACCCGTGGATGTAACACCGCCATTGGGGTTTTTGTTACTTTGGTTATAGTGTTGCTCCCAATCAGCGTGGCGGCGTGCTGTAGCCTTTTCCTTGATCTTAGAAATGCGGTGGGATATGGCCTTCGGGGTTACGTCTATGGTTTGTGGAGATTAGCATGTGGCCATGAGCAGGTAGGGGGATATTGGAAGCGGCGTTACTTTCTCCCATCGATTTAGCAAGTGCTGCGTAGTCGATCTTTACGACATGGAGTTTGAGAACGTTGGCAAATAGCTACGTAGGGATGTTATATTAGAAACAATCTCATCAATCAACCTTTTACCGCATTCGGAGTAGGGACTAACCCTGGCATCGGCCTGTTCATTCCATTGCATAGGCATCTTTTGGACTTTGAGTTGAGGGTAATGGGAATGACGGTAGAGGGAGAGTCTGGGGAAGCTGGGGGCTATATGCAGAGGGTCGATGGTTTTTTGTGTTTGGGTAGTACAGGCATGCGTGGGCGTGGCGGTACACGGCGGAATTAACCAGAAACAAACGAGGAAACAAACAGGGCTGATACATGGATCAATTGTTTGTTCGTGAAGGGTTAAGAGGGTCGATGTTGTTTTAGCTAAGGGGGTTTCCGCACGGTACCTACGGGCTTCTTAGGAATTCGATTGGGATTGAGGTGGGCTGCATTGTTCACGAGATGGGGCAGGTGTATGGGGTATGTATTGGGTATTTTCTTTGTTCAGCTTTGCTAATTCACCACCCTTCCAGTCACCCTTCCCGCTGTACTAAGCGCGGTCTTGAATTTGCGGGTAAAATCATCCATGATAGTCTGGCGCGCTCAACATGATGTGAGAATATCATGAGTGGCCACAGTTGGACTCAGAAATGTTTAATTGATATATCATTTAACACATATTTATGGTTCATACATGTATCATATCATGGTACACCTGTTTTATTCCAGCAGTACAATTTTCGTATCAAGGACTACGTATGTAATAGATTCCCACCATTATCCCTAGCTGGCGGTCTTTACAGCCTTCGAACTCCCCTTTGACCCACTACCGGCCCCATCACTTATGGAATCATCCTCCCTCTCAACTCTTTTCAAGGTGGACTTTCTCGCCTTCCGTGGCGTTGCTGGTGCCTTTTTCTTTACCGGGGAAGCGGTGGTGCTCTTCGTAATACCGGTACCGGTACTATTATTCTTTGCGAGAAAGCCCCTCTTGAGGGAGGTAAGGCGGTTGAATGCGGATCCAGTATTCGTATACCCGGTTTCTTTAGCGACGGCTTCAAAGTCGGTCTGGTATCAAGGGTTAATACGAACATCAGCTGAATATTATGGTGGCTATTTACCTTTCCTTCGGTGTGCATTATGCAGCTGAGAAGGAACTCAGCCTCGCTCGCTGTTGAAGGCATAATCAATCTGTACTTGTGATTGTATCGATGGGAGATGACTTGTAATTGCAATTGATCAATTGAATGCACATATGTGCCGACTTTATATAATTCAAATACAGGCAGGATAAATGTGTACCCAATAAGCTGTTACTCCAATGCTGCCGGCGTGAGACATGGTAGCATCAGGCCAACCTCGCACACAAGCCACACAGTTGAGACATGATACTTTCATTTGGCTTTGGATATTGGTTTTCTAGAAACCCCTCCATGACGTAGGAGGGTGGAGAGAGAGCGTTTAGAGTCCGGGCCTCATATTGTGTGCCCAACATTCAGATACATACATACACGCACGTAGTACATAATATTGGTTCTTACATGTAGGTTTGCGATGATCTGACTTGTCTAGATCTGTATTAGATTGCAATTGTGACGCGGGTCTTCGAGACACGGGCTAGAAATGAGTCATTACTTGTAATTACATTATTATATCCCCATACCCATGATGGGAGTACAAACAGTGCTCACATCATGTAGCCATTTGTTGCACGCCGAACAGCATGCTAACAGATAGTACATAGGTAGCGCTTCTTTTGTGACCTGCATATGCCCTTATTGACAATAGTTGCGAGTTCCATGTTTGATGCACTTCTAGCCTTATTCGTGATTGACAGGCGGATTGGATAGTGTATGTACCCACCTCCGAGACATCACGTATTTGTGGTAGAAACCTTGGTTATCCGAATAGAGTACATACTCCAGGTACTCTTGGTTCCGGACGCTCCTGGTGTTTAGGTGATTTAATTCAAAAGCATTGCCTTATTATTTTACAATTATTTGCTTATGATACTCACTAGCATATGACTCCTTGATGTACGTCAAGTACGTCAGTGGCTGTTTGGCTGGATCCAACAGTATCGATATCAAAGGAGGTTGTGCAACTCAACTATACGTATTTCGCAATTGGAGAAGGTTGGAACGGCTGGATCAATAAATGATGTAATGGGCACAAGAAATAAACCTTACCACCTTTCAGTACTAGAACTAGCAAATATGAACTGTAACAATCATATCAGCAATGGTACACAGGGTTAGGTAGGCCCCACGATCTCAAAGGATCAAGAGGATATAAATAAAGCAGAAATATTCCCCTACCTACATAATTAGATTGAAACCAAACTCTTTAACCTCTCTTCACGGTCCAGAATTAAGTCTTGAATATCATACAGTCAAAAATGACCGATACCGAAAAGCCCGCAGTTAAGACTACCAAAAGCGAAGGCCAGTTCTGGCTTGCAGTCTTTGAATGTTGCGAATCGCCCCCCAAGGTACTACATACCTTGCCTTCCGCCTCCCTTTCGCTTCCTAGCTTCATCCACTGATAAAATCTAGATCGATTTTGACAAGCTGGCCGAGAAATGCAACTACAAGAATGCTACCACCGCCAGAGTTATGTTTAATGGCAAGCGCAAAGCACTCCGTGATGCTGAACTAGCTCTCGGTGGTGGTACCGGTACTGCAGCTCCACCCGTAAGCCCAAAGAGGGGCCGTAAGCCGAAGCCGAAAGCCGATGGTGAGGATGGGGAGGATGGCGGTGAGCCGGTAAAGAAGAGGGGCAGAGGGAGACCAAAGAAGGTGGTGGCAGCACCGGAGGAGGAGGAGGAACATATCACTACTGCGGAGGAGGATGCCAGTACCTAGCAGGATCTCATGGAATAATTTGTGGTTTGCTTGTACGCATGATATTATACATGTTGGTAGTGGATGTTGAGTTCGGTTTGACAAGCTGTTGTATTGTTAGTTTGCAGCCAGTGACACCGAGAGCCGATTGATTTTAGTAAGTTGTGATAAATGTGACAAGAATCACGCTGAATGTTACTTACTCCTACTATTTACCACCGTGATATTCTAAAGAGTCTGCGTTACGGTTTTACCAAACCGGTAGACACCACCCTTTTGGGACGCCCACACGTGTGCGTACACACCCGCACCTACGTGCATAAACCCAGCCCAAACCAAGTGTGCCACACGCAAAGAGGTCAGTGATCTTTCTAGCATCTTATCTAGAATGCAAGCACATGCACATCTCGATGCATCTATGACGATGTGGAAGATTGATTAGTAGGTATGGTGGGGGGTTGGGAGTTGGGGGTAGAAAAAAGAATATATACGAGCTCATGTAGCTAGTTGTACCCATAAATCCATACACACTCCCTCTCAATCTTCCTTCTTCACAATCCCTCCTGAACCCTATTCACAGCAGTCATGGTGCGCCCAGGAGCTCCATTGGCCATAGCCAAACAAGAACGCAAATTCGAATTCTTCCAGGCCATCCTTGAGTGCCAGGTCGGGCAGCCAAGGGTATCTTTCCCCATCCAAAGTCTGACAGTGATTCACTGTAAGTTCTCTAAACAGGAATTAGGCTAACAAGCCCCTAAAAGATTGATTTCGAAAAGCTAGCTCGTAGACTGGGCTACAAGAATGAACGCTGCGCCGCTGATAGTTACTACCGCTTCTGTCGAGAGCATTTGAAAAGGATACACCAAGCCGCACCAGCACTCAGAGGTGGATCGGGTGTAGACGGAGCACCGCCCAGACCCAGAAGGCCATCAAACTGGAAACAAACATATGATATGAATGGAGTGCCCACTGGTGGCTTTCAAGACGATGATGAAGTGGAAGTATCGGAGGAGGAGGAGGAGGAGGAGGAGGAGGAGGAGGAGGAGGAGGAGAAAGCTGAAGAAGCAGGAGAAACGGAGGTAAAGCCGGAGGTTAAACAGGAGTTTCCGGTATGGAATCTGGAGTCGTTTCTTAGGTCCACGGAGGAGATTGCTCGTGAAACATCAGTGGTGGTGGTAAAGGATGAGGATGAGGATCCGAAGGAGATTGATGGGGTGGTCGTGAAGAAGGAGACTATGTCGGAAGTTTGGAAGTGGTGAGTGAGAACTTGTGATGGGGTTGGTTTTTTATTTATTTAATTGTGGATGGATATCATAATTGAAGTTTTTCATCTTTCACTATTATTTGATCGGGACTCTTCTGGGGATACAAATTAGACCCTAGTATCTGGATCACTCCTTGTACTAGGGTGTCACAGACCACAATGCCTAGGAACTACATGTATGTAGGTGCACTACTATGTCTAAGGGGCTGGCGATTAAGGTACATGCGGTGACATACAATATTCTTTTAGTTAAGCTTTTCCCCATACTCTAATTGAACCTCATGGATTTATCAAACCCATCAGAATTGAAGTGATTAGAATTCGGCTATGTATGTTATAGGTAATGCTCATCGGATGGCACGTGGGCTGCCGGTAAGTCCACATTAGCGAATGAGTGGTATGTGCTTCGCATCATTGGTGGGGAAGGACGGGCTGCCGGTGCTGTGTTTGGTTCGTCGGATGGAAAGAGATGCATAACAGCAGGCCAAGAAAGAATATCTCGCATAAACCGAACCTGAATAGTATTAATAGTAGCGTACCACCATCACTAACAACATCATCGCCTTCAATATCGTCGTGACTAGTATGTAGAGTAGGTTAATGATAATGCGAATATTCAGAGTGTTGGGTGGCTGTATGGATGGCCTATGGTGTGCTAGGGTAAGTTCCTCTGACCAATCACGATAAAGTGGGGAAGTGTGAGATGAAGGCGAGAGGAAGATGAGGGGATGATGAGGGGTTTAACGGGGGTGTAGGTAAAGTAAACCGTAGATACTTGTTCTTGGTGGTTTTGTTGGTGGTTGCACTGGTAGAGTAGGCAGTAGTTGATCATCCTCCCCTAATAATCCGCACCCCTACCACACTCTGGGCAACGTTCCCCCTTCCGTTTCCTTACTACATGCCCCCTCTCCGTACCAACACCGCTCATCATCGCACTTCCGTCTACCCCGAGTGGATTCCCACAGCAGAAGAAGCCATCTTCTTCTTTCCCCCTCTCTGACAAACTCCCTCAACCCCCCACTCAAACACCCCTCAACTCACCCCTTGCTTCAGCATCTTACTGTTATCCTCTACCATCTAATTAATCCTAATACACTCTACAACCGAGTGATCGCGCGCTCGCATCACTATCAACTTTAGCCACCTTTCATCACCAGCATCGCGTACATCACAAACTATGACCATGAGTGAAGTGGACAGAACATCCGAGACTGGTTAGAACGCCTCCCCCCACCCTCCCTTTCTCCCCCACCCCTTAGTTGATTTAAGCTTTCTGCCACAAAACGGGTTCTTCGATAGCTGACTTGGCTCCTTAGACCATGTTATCGTCCTCACACCCGAAGAGAAGAGAGTTTTCGGGCAGCTTTTCCAGGCTGCTGACCGCGACGGACTCAGCGTTGTTACGGGAGAGCTAGCTGTTAAATTTTTCGAAAAGTCTGGGCTTAACCCGAGAATCCTTGGAGAGGTGAGTGGTTGTAGCGATGCTGAATGCTATCTCAAGTCTCAAAGCTAATTTGACTTTAGATTTGGGGGATCGCGGACACGCAAAACCGAGGACTGCTCACAAAAGTCGGCTTCAGTGTTGCTCTTAGATTGATTGGACAAGCGCAGAATGGGCAGCATCCTCGCCCCGAGCTGGCGCAACACCCTGGACCGCTCCCAGTGTTCGAGGGTGTAAACATTATAAATACACCGGCGCCTCCAGTTACTTCTTCGCCGCCGCCGCCGCCAACGGCCCCGGTTCAACAGGCCCAACTTTCGGGTCCAGGAGGAGGGATGATAAGAGTTCCTCCTATCACGATTCAGGATGTGGAGAGATTCACGGGACTTTTCGAAAAGTCCGGGGCCCAGGATGGTGTCCTGCCAGGTGATGTAGCGAAGAGCATCTTCCAACGTGCCAAGCTTCCGAACCAGACTCTAGGATTGATTTGGAACCTTGCCGACCGACAACACCGAGGCGTTCTCGGCCCAGCAGAGTTCGTGGTCGCTATGCACTTAATTACCTGTTCCAAGAATGGATCACTACCCGTATTGCCTCAAATCCTTCCCCCCGGTTTCTATGAAGCTGCAGCTGGTAGAATTCCCGCGCGACCTGGCCCAGATCGGCGACAGGCCGGGAGAGGCGTTCCACCGAATATGCCTCCTATTCCACCAATTCCGAAGCAATTTAGTGGAAACCTACAGCAACGTGCTCAGTCGCCTTTATCGAGGCAGTTCACCCCTCCGGTTACGCAGGCTCTCCCTCGTCAGGGAACTGGGGATTGGGCAATTAATGCTGCCGATAAGGCTCGTTTTGATCAAGTCTTTTTGACAATTGACAAGCAGAATAGAGGCTTCATCACTGGTTAGTATTCGGGTTCTCGATATTGCGTTTTGACTTTATCTAATGCAAGTTTTAGGAGAGGAGGCTGTTCCTTTCTTTGGAAACTCAAACCTTCCAGAAGATATACTTGCTACTATCTGGGATCTTGCAGATATTACTAAGGCGGGGCGTTTGAACCGCGATGAGTTTGCTATTGCTATGCACCTTATACGTCAACAACGCAACTCTCCTGGTGCAGGTTCGTTGCCTGAAGTTCTTCCTATGAATTTAATCCCCCCGTCTATGCGCCAACAGGTGCAATTCTCACAACGTATTGACCCCACCCATGACTTAAATGAATCTCTTACTTACTATAAATCAGCTCTCCCAAGCCCCTACGAACCCCAAGCACCCCCAGCCCCACCCCTACCACCAAAGGCAGCTTCAGATGACTTGTTTGATTTGGACTTTTCAGGCACGCCAGCATCAGCACCGGCGCCGCCAGCCTCTGCCCCTCCTCCAGCTTCGCTAAGTCCATTTGATACTGATGTTTTTGGTATGAAGTCCGCCCCGCCAACTGGTGCGACTGCTGGAGCTCCGTCGGGGACGGCTTCACAAGCTCCCAATTTTTTTACAACCACTGCGCGTACATTTGTCCCTACATCTGGTTTTGGACAGGCCATGATTTCTCCTTCACAGACCGGAGGTTCTAGTACTTCTGCAACCGCAAATCGTCCCGTACCTCCCATGATGGATGATTTGCTTGGTGATGCCGATCCGGAAGTTAGCAAGAAACTTACAAACGATACTACTGAATTGGCAAATCTGTCGAATAATATTGGCACTTTGACCAAACAAACTACGGAGCTGAAGGGAAAGAGAGCTTCTACTGAGCAAGAGTTATCTGCTCTCAGCTCCCAGAAGGCAGCTATTGAAGCACAGTTGGCTACCTTAAGAGCAGCTTACGAGCGAGAGGCGGAACACGCTAAAAAGATGGAAGATCAGCTCGCGGCTTCAAAGGCAGATACCAATAGGCTACGCATAGAGTATGCATCAGTGGAACAGAATTATAATGAGCTTATATCCCGAAAGCAGGAAGTTTCCTCTGCACTCGATTCCGATAAAAGAGAGAACGAGAACCTGTCTCAGAGGATGAAGGCACTCAATGCGGAAAATATTAATTTAAGACAGGAGCTAGAGAGATTACAATCGCAGGCCAGACAACAGAAAGGGTTAGTAGCTATCAATAAGAAACAAGTTGCCACTGGAGAAATCGAGCGTGATAGGCTTCAAAAAGATATCGAAGATACCAGGTCAAACATTGCCAGTCCTCCTCCTCCGGGCAGTCCGACGCCTTCATCTGCCAGCATAAATACAAACCCTTTCCATCGTAGGTCACCGCCAGCGACTGCAGATTCAGCATTTTCACCCTCACCATTTGCTCCGGGAGCTACCGCACCCCAGGCCCCGAGTCTAGATGATGTTTTTGGTCCTGCATTTGCTGTTTCGCCAATGCCAACTGGGTCTTCTTTGACCTCCTTCCATAGGGCACAAACTGAGGCAAGTGCTCCTTCGGCTTCCGAGGGCGGAAACGCCGAACACTCAACCCCACCCACATCCCCACCAGGGTCGTCATACCATGGTTCTCCTCAACTTTCTGAAGTTCCTCCGGTTTCTGCCGCGGTTCAGATGAATCCATCCTTTTTACCATTCCAAATCAATCGTGCAGACTCAATGACCTCCTCTGTACAGGTTAACCCGCCTGCTAGCGCCCACGGTGGCGATGAGTTTTCGAGACCAGATACGCCAAACTGGGCGACCCCCAGCGATACTCCGGCCAGGGAAAGAGATGCATTTGTTAAGGCTGAAGACAGGAGGGGTAGTTTCAGCGTAAAAAGTGATGCTGGTACCGAAGCTTCAGCTAAGGTATCGTTCCTTGATGGTGGAAAAGAGAAGACGAACAACGATAGGTCGCCATTTGCCTCTGTTATGCCCGTGGAGAAGAATACTACTGGAAGTACTACTGGTGGTGAGAGGCCTGGTATGAGACCATCTGAGAAGAGAGACTCCTTCTCAAGTTACGGAACGCCATCCCAGTCGATTCCTGGCGCATTTCCAAGCATTGAAGGAATGCAGGCTCCAATCAAACCCACTGCGACTGGCGAAAGTACTATGAGTAACAAGAGCAGTGGCAGTGGTATTGGAAAGTCTGCATTTGGGTCAATGCTTGCTAACCGGGCTGATCCCAAAGATTTCGATGATGCATTCAAGACCTTTTCTGTAAGGACCCAGGAAAGACAAAACACCGGTGGATCCGCCACCGGAAGTTTGAGCGCCAGTAGATTCGATAAAGAATTCCCACCGATAGAGGAGGTTGGGCCAGATGATGATAGTGACAGTGATGTCGATAAGGGATTTGATGACAATTTCACTTCCAGCCCTGTTCAAACCCATACCCAGCCGGCCACCACTGCCCCCCCACCGACAACAAGTCCTGCTCCAATGGATCAGGGTATATCTAGGCCGCCTGCTCTGTCAGCTCAGCAGTCCCCCCCTGCGTACACCCCTGGATCAAAGGCTGGAGAGAAGAATCCGTTCCCGGAATATAGCGGGCTTCTTCCCTCCAGGACTGATCCTATGAAGCATGAGGGCACTACTCCTGGTGGAGGCACCAACACAGTTATTTTCCCTGGTTCTGCTCCTACATCCCCCCAACATACCGGCTCAAATGCCTTTGGTCAGAATAATTCAATTTTCTCCTCATCACCCTCCGGTTCAAAAGGTCAATCGTTGAGTGCCAACAACACTGGAAATGTTTTCTCTGCTTCGCCTCCGATCGTATCCAAGAGTCCTGCTCCTTCTGCAGCGAATACAGCTCAACCGTCGGCTAACCCCATTCCTGACGAATTTGATGATGAGTTTGGAGATCTAGCAGAGGCCAAAGAAGCTGACGATAAGGGCGACGACAACGATTTTGGCGGGTTTGATGACTTCAACCCCGTGTTCGATTCTCAATCCAGTCATAGCAATAACCATACAGCATCCGGTAATGCTATGGACGCCGATGAAGGCTTCACAACATTCAACTTCAATATCGATTCTCCTTCAGCGCAGACACAAAAACAGGGGCAGCAACAACAGCATGAAGAGGACTGGGATGCTATTTTTGATTCGCCGCAACCTCCGAGGACGCAGACAAATGGAGGAACTGAGGAGACTTCTGGACAGAGTGGTACGGGCCCCGTCGATGTCGAGGCTGGGGGCGTTGCCCTGGCTGGTGAGAGCGACGCTGCATCAGAGGATGCAAAGATTACTGAGTTGACCGGATTGGGTTTTGGCAGAGAGAGTTCGGTGAAGGCACTCGAAAAGCATGGTTACAACCTCGAACAAGTATGGACTCCTTGAGTCCAATCTCTTTCCGGGGTGTTCCTAACTGATGTGATTCTTTAGGCGGCAAACTCCCTCTTTTCGGAAGCGGAGTCGAAGTAATTTGAGGTAGGTAGAAATAATAAGTGGGTGGAAGGGTGGGTGAATTTACGTTTTCTATTCATTGTCTGATATCATTCTTTTATTTGTTTTGTCGTTATCACCAAGCGAGTAAATTTGGTGATTTCGAGCGTGGAGCGGACCGAGTCGAGTTGGGAGGCCTAGATGAAGCTAGGCAGAGGCAGAGAAAACCACTGGGACCAAATAACTCTCCTTACTATGTTGTTTTGATTTTTTACATACCATATTTCTTTTGTTATAGTGTGCTTGCTTTGCTCTGGGCAGGTCGTTTTTCACAAAGTGCGTAGAGCGGGGAGGATTTTTCATATCCATGATTTTCATCGCCAGCCAGTACGGCATTACCATACCTTTGTTGAGTGTTGATTTCGAGTCGTTTCTGTACCCGTAGTTAGTTTGCGCGCGTGCGTGAGGTATCATTACTCTCTTTTTGGCCGACAATAGCTGGACCTTTCCTTTTTCCTTTTTTGTTCATCTTAGTTTCTCAGGTATTTTATCCTACCTGCATATTTACATACCCCCCATCATCATCATGCGACAATAGTTTCTTTTATTTGTTGTTTTCTTTTTGGTTAGTTTAGGTGGCTCAGCTTAGACTGGTTTAATCAAGATTGTAATTTCTTTGGACGTGCTTGACGAGGCCGGTCGTTTCAGTAATCTAGTTGCGGCTGCGCTCGCTATGTGATAAGGCACAGTGGGAGCTGAGGAGGAGGGCGAGGAGGTTGTATTCATAATACTAGACCACAACTATCAAGGTGATAAATGACGACCTCGGGTGTAGAAGTTGCGCCTGAGACCTTCTCGTATTGGTGGGTTGTAGGTGGTGTATTACCTCTTTGTTCTGATGGCCTGGTGTTGGGTTGAGTTAGTGATCATACCATTGCACTAGACAGACAGCCTTCTTATTGAGTTTTGACAAAGTGAAAGTGACTGGCAGGGCGTTTCCTGTCTATCGATGCCCAGCTAGGTATTGCAGCCATTGCATCATCAGATCCGCTCCTCAGCAGTAGCGTGATCTCTGAACCATGGTCACGCAATCTTGGCAGCGTGACAGCCTTGTTCCATAGCTTGGCCAAAGTAGATACTTGTAGGGACGAGTAGCAAGTTTCCTCCGTGCTGTGCAAAAGATAAGAAGCATATATGTAGGTATCTGTTCTACCCTATCGCTCCCAATGCCGCCTGCCCGTGGCCGCCCTCGTCCTCCAAACGAATTGAAAATACTGCGCAACCCCTCTCAGAAGCTCAGAACAGATGTCGTACAATTACGGGCTGGTGATTGCAGTAGCAAAATAACGCCTTTCAATTGGCCAGAGGAGGGGAGGGGCAACCTATGGAAGGTAGCATACAGACCTACCTGAAAAAAAGGTTTGTGTTACCCCCGATCTGACCCCTTCCCATTTATCTGGGTTGTTCCAATCCCGTGGGTTTGGGGTGACAGGGAAGCTTCCACATATCAAACCTTTTCTTCTGCGGAAGGTCTTACTTACATGTAGGTACTTACATTACAGGTCATGTGGCTCATTAGCAATGGGGTAGGGAAGGAAGGGGAGGGAAGCTAATTGGTGTTTTTTTTTTTTTTTTTTTTTAAGATCTATCGTGATTTATGTCTATTTTCTTCTTAATCCTACTGCACTAGTGATGATGAATTCCTTCAGCAATTCTTTGACTTTCTTGTACCTATACCTCTTCGCCAACACCAGTGGTGTCTCTCCTCTACTCCCTACTGCATAAACATTTGCCCCCTTACTTAGCAACAGCATCACAATCGGTACACTGCCATAGCTAACCGCCTCATGCAATGCTGTCCACCTAGAGTTTATACTCCTCGCCTCCATGTCCGCCCCATAGTCCAACAGCAAGCTTATAATCCCCGTCTTCCCCCTCTGCACCGCAATCTGCAGCGGTGTCGCCCCCATGTGGTCCCTCGCCTCGACACAAGCTCCATATTCCAGCAACATTCTCGCCATCCCGGTGAAGCCCTCCATGACCGCGTAGTGAAGCGGTGTTTTCCTGTGCTGATCTGTAGCTTTCACGTCGGCGCCGTTCTCTAGCAATAGCCGCACCAGCCCCTCGTCGCGGTGTAGAGCGATCTTGTGCAGTGCTGTGCCTGTTATCCATTCCTTTGTATTCTGGATGTTGATGTCGCAACCCATTTCCAGCAGTAGGGATATGAGAGGTTTGTGGCCACGTTCGGCGGCCCATAAGAGAGCGGGGGCACCATCTATATCTTGCTGAGCATGTCGAATAAGGAGTGGAGTGAGAAGGATGTGAAAAAATCGTGATGTGCGGATGAGGTGGTTGAGGGAGCACAAGTCGAGGTCTTCAGCGATAGGATGGAGAAGCTCATTAGGGAGACTAAGCAGGGACATGGTATGTTTAATGTGGATCGATTAGAGTGTTCGGCTACGGCTATTAACTGGCGGGGGTGCGGTAGTGAGAATAATAGTTTAGATGGACAGTGAAGTGCGTTGCAGGCCCACTTTTAGGGTTTCAGGGGGGGTGTAGACGGGCCAACGGGTAGAGTATTGGTGTAGGCAGGCACATGTATAATAGGGGATGAAGTCAAACGGTTGCCAGGACGCCTTCATCGCGCAGACTACATAGGTAAGTATTCGCTGTAGAGCAGGTACGTGTTCTAGTGAGGTGTGGAACATTAATTGCCTTCATAGAAGAAGTTATCAGACGCAATAGTTATCTGGCTGTGGCAGTCAGGCTGTCAGCTGTCCCATTCTACCATATCTATGCATATTGAAGTCCAAAGCTGTAACAGGGGCCCGAAGTGTGGAAGAGGGCTGGCCAATCAAACAACACTCGAGCACTTGACTAGGGTCGTTATCCCTCCAAGCCTCCGGAATGTTCCACCTGTTTGCGCGCGGGGACATTTATTAACAACGCCTCTCAATTCCCCACCAAGGTGTTTTTTTAGTGGTACCCCGAGGAACCCCGGTAGTTTTGCAAAAGCTGTCTACCCCCTGGTCCAGGGTTAGGGTTGTGTTCAGCCACAGTTGATCACTCGGCTTCCAAGGCAGTGGGCAATTAGATATGCCATAAATAGAGGCTATGGGGTCATCTGTAAGGGACAGATGGATAACAGTATAAAGTTTGTTGATGTTATTGGTATCTTGGCCAAATAGCTTCAGCCCTATGTGTATTATTGCTGAATAGAGTTGGTTGACAATAAAGATGGCGTTCTTAAGCTTAAGTCGAATAGTTATACGAGCAAAGCTTGTATGAATCTAGACATTTGATTAGAATGATATCATAGGCTCAAGCTTCCGAAACTAGTACTTTCTTAAGATTACTCACCAGTAGGTAGTACGTTCCTGTTTACAAGTGACTTGGAATCGATGAAGGGGGCCATCCACTCCCGTGAAGTAACCTGTTTAATGGATGTATCAGACTGCATAAGCGATAACCTGCCAGATAATGTAGGTCAAGACATATGTGAACAAATTATCATGTTTGATCTTCATGCTAGTGGAACAACCGACTAATCAAATCCAAAGGGCGCGTGCACTGTCTCTGAGAGTGAGTTTGACTGAGTGAATGAATGCGATGGAGAAGAAGGACGGCATACCTCGAAATAGTCCTGTGCTCAATCGTGTCACATATCTCATCTCTATGGTTTACCTCTTGTCAGTCCTGCATAGATATATAAAAAAATATACATACGTGGTTGTAGATGTTTTGTCTTGACCACATATGAGGTATTTGTAACTGCTGGTGTCCCGGGAGCCAAAGTACATAGAAGTACGCGCGTACATTGTAGGGCAAACATAAGCCCGCCCCGACCCATGGAGCGATCATATTCCCTCATAACTTCGACTATGCCCAAGGCAGCTGTGCCTCAAACCATCGGGAGGAAGGTGAGATATTATCTTTTGAGGAGAAAGAAGATTGGCCCCCAGTTGAATCATCTATTGATTGTCTCTATGCAGAAATCCAACCAATAATGTGGTTCGTTGGCCATATTCAATACTCCAATTGGCCAACCAGAAAAACGCCAAGCCAACCGGATGTTCGGCGTCCAGGACATCAGATTCCCATTCCCCGGGCCGATATGCAGGGAATCGTTGTAGCATCCAGGCACAACAAAGCTTAAAGGGTGTCTGGTATGACAGGTCATTCGAGATCATGCAAACTAGCACGGCGTTGAGGGTTTTGTGTCGGCCGAGCGAGTTGTCGCTAATTGACTGCATAAGATTACCCGGCTGAGCGAGCGAGATTCTATGATTCACTCGACGAATTTGAGCGACGTCATAAAACATATCAGAATTTTTTAGATATGAGAGGGTGGATTCAGAGAGAACGAAGATGGAGTGTGTGACTTATATATACTCCCCAATTTGTTGGATGGGAGAGATATATATGCAAGGGGAAGAATTATACTCACCAGTTTCACCCGCGCGGCCCCCACGCAAGCCCCCACACAAGATCCTAATGGGGCCATTCCTCGGAGGTCGATCTCCCCCGTAACAGAGCTTTGATATCATAGCTAGTCACGAGTATTGATGAGAGGGCTGTTACCTTGTACAAATGGCCGCACCATTGCAGGCTGGAAACAAAGTCCTAGGATAATGACTCCTGAATAATTGCTTCATGGGGTTGTTTACGATCGACCAACAAGCACAAATTTCTCAAGCTACAGTCACTTTAGATCTACAAAGATCTTCATGATGAGCGCCATAGTACTTCCCTTCTAAAAAGCCCTCATACCACCGCAATAAGTCGCTGTGGCCTAGTTCATGGGTAGTGCTACAGCGCCGATGTTTGGTGACTGGTTTCTCTCCGAGAAAATTGACTTCATACCGGAAGATATTGTATATTCTGCTAGCATGGCTCCCTTTACAGGCAGTTTAATGAGCTATAGTCATAGATCGAGACTTTTCCTTGTCCTTATTTCCCCATACCCCGACTAAATGTCGAGTACTAGACTTTACTCTAGCTATATGTCAACGTTTATAAGTGTATCAATTCACCTTAGG